CTTCTTGGCCATTGTAATACTTCCTTTCGTGAGCTGTCTGTTCAAGTCTTTTTCTCTTCTGTTGGCTTCTCTTTTTCTTACTGATTTGCAGGCATTTCCCACGTGTTCTAATTATGAGTCTTTTGGAATTATATATTATAGGTTGAGTATCCCTTATATGAAATGCTTAGGATCCAGAAGTGTTTGGGAATTTTTGGATTTTGTAATAGTTGCATATAGATAATTAGCTATCTTAGAGATGAGACCCAAGTCTAAACATGAAGTTCATTTATATTTTATATATATCTTATACACATAGCCTGAAGACAATTTTATACATTATTTTAAATAATTTTGTGCTTGAAACAAAGTTTTGAATGCAGTTCATCCCATGAGGTCAGGTGTGGAATTTTCCACTCATGGTATCATGTTGGCTCTCAAAGTTTCAAATTTTGGAGCATTTCAGATTTTTGGATTAGGGATGTTCAACCTACACAAGCATCTTTTCCTATTTGGCATGCTTTTTAAAGAGTATAATTCACATAATTTACCACAAAATGCTAAAATCTTGAGTATTATACAATCAGTCATCTAGACACAGACACAGAACATTTTCATCACTCCAGAATGTTCCCTTGTGCCTCTTCCCAGTCAGCACCTCTGTCACAATAGCAATCACTCATCTGAAATCTATCAGCATAAGTTAGTTTTGCCTATTCAAGAATTTCATATAAATGGTTTCCTACAATATATACCCTTTTTGTATGCAACTTCTTTCACTTAGCATGGTATTTTTGAGATTCATATGTCTTGTTGCATGTATCAGTATTCACTCTTTTTCACTGCTGAGTAGTATTTCATGGTAGATTAGACCAGTTTATCTATTCTGTTGTTGATGGACATGTAGAGTGTTTCAATATTTGAATAAATATTGAATAAATTTATTATGAAAAAAGCTGCTATGAGCATTCTTGTGGATATAGCATTCACCATTTGAAAATTATTTTTTCTTTAATCATACTAAATTTTTCATTTGCATATTGTCTTCTAAGATGTCTAGATAAATAAAAGCCTAGATCCATGCAAAAGATAAATGGTTTACTTGCTCTAAGAAATTTTTACAAAAAAATTTCACTCAATAGGATTCTATTAATTAGCTCCCTTCATGGAGTAAATGATCTATGTTACAAACACTGCTTATAAATACCAGTTACTCCCTTTACTCATTTGGAGTTTCGTTTATGTGGATTTTCCCTCTTCCCCAGTTGCATGAACATATTACTGTAATTATTTGCTGTTGCACTAATAGAGACCTTGTCTTTTGAAGGAAGGAAAGTATTTGATTAAATGCATCAGCCTCTCTAATAATCATATGCCTGAAGTTATGAACAATTGAAAAACTCCTTGGGAGTAGGGGCAGGTGAACATTCTAAAAACAGGTAGAATTTACAGTGGTTAAAAAGTGCAATGGTAGAAAAATAATTTTGTGCTAAGTGTCACATTGGGGGTGTGTGTGATAAGACTATGGTGATTTAAGTAAAGACAGTACTGCTAAACTCATCCACACCGATGCCTATGATGTTACTTTCTATAAATACTTCTTGAAACATGAGAGTTTAGATCCTGTTGCCAAAATAATGTGAGATCCTAGAAATTTTCTAATTATAAATGACAGTATTTTAATTTCATTCCACTGCCTTTTCTGTACCCTCAACCTCAGCACAAATGAGTCTATCACTACAAGCCACATAATTGAATTAAAGCGTACATCATCTCAGCCTATTCTGGGGGAAACCACAGCTGCTTTTCCTCCAGATAACTGGTTTTGCAAAGCCCAGGCAGGCTGCTCCTTCCTTTATTCTCTGCCTCACCAAAAGATTTAAGTCACCTGTCAAGAGCTAGCCTAAAATAAATGGAAGTTACTTTTTTCAAATGGGGCACAAAGTTTGTTCCTTTAAGCCGGTTGTTCAGAGAAAGCTTTCGGTAGAAGCAGTAAAGTATTTGGGATTCAGTTTTGCATCTCTTGTTCAAAAACTAATGTAAGCAGTGTAATATTAATTATAAGTGTATATGCATGTAGGGAAAGTGCAGTAATAAAGATTTTACTTTAATGTCATTTTTGACAGAAGTGTTTAATTTTGGAGTGGCAACAATTAAAAATGGAATTACACGTAGCTGCTCTGTTTTGCACATTTAAACATTTTAAATCTCTACCTCTAGGTGGCAGCACCAGATACTTGTTTCTTGTTTCACTCCAGCCTTAATGAGTTTAGGGTGTAAGCAGTAAAACTTTAAAGTCTACTGAAACTTTGAAATAAACTGCTATTACCAGTTTTCTGAGAATTTGGAAAAACTAATGTATATGTTGAATAAGTTTGGGGCTTGTTTTAGCTTTTCAAAAAAGATTCCAGCAGCAATGATCCTTATTTTTTTAACATGACATTGTATGTTTTCTTATAATGATTTAATTTAGCCCTCTGTGGTTTGCCTGTTGAACTTATAACTGCCCTCCCAAGAAAATCACTTTTTAAATGGCATTTTGGTATTTAAGTAACTTGTACAAGGATTATTATATACCTAATATTTTAAGCTCATTACAGTCTCGTCTCCCTTTATATTTTTAAATTTTAGCATTGAACTATGACCAAGAGAGTACTGAGATTGAAGCCCCTTCCCCTGAAAAATAAAACCAGCTTGGGAATAAATATGAAGTAATTAGCTAAGCCAGTTGGCTTTGTTACTGCCACCAGAAGATTGAGTGATTTGTAGAAATGGATATTTAGAGTGGACATTTCGTAGAACCTGATATTTATCACAAGTTTCAGGCACTTGTTTCGGTGTTTCTCCATGACTCTGTAGCAAGATGGCCCACGCCCATTTTTGGCTTACTCTGTAGGCAGGCCGTCCATGGTCAGAGCTTGCAGGTTCATGCACTCAGGTGTGCCAAGTGAGCCATGGCTGGTGGGGTGGGGTAGAGAGTAGCTCCACTTGGTTCCTTTTCATAGCCTGGCCAATTTTGTATATGTGCAAACCAGCATTGTTCCTTTATTTTTGGACTGTGAAAGAAACTTGCCTTTTAGAAAAATGTTGCTTATTATTTTTCTTTTTGATTAGTGTTGGCCTGGGAAATTGATTAATATTCATAGGGTCGGAGTAAAAGTGAAGCTGCTTTCCTATAATTGCAAATAAAGCAAGACGTTATGTGAATACTTGGATTCACAACTGGAGTTTGAATTAGCAACAGTTACCCTTCACTACAGAGAGGAAATGGCCTCATTCACGGGTGTGGTCTCTCTCAATTCCTCTGACCCTCCTTAGCTTTAAATGTGAGGGTATATGTATTCCCACATACTTCTCTAATTTGCTGTTTCTCTTAGGGGTTAGGTAACTTGTAAAATAAAAGTGTATAGTGTCTTGGTGACAAGTGGCTCATGTTAACATAATTTATGTCACTAATGAAGAACAGCTTTTCAAATTGTTCTGAATGTGTATTCTTTGTTTTTATCATATACTACCACTTTAGGAAATACTTTAATTCCTACAAAGAGTAGCTATTGACTTCATATGCAGCATGAAGATGTCTCATATATTTTTCTAAATGCATAATAATCTTGAGTGAGTATAGTCTGGATTAAATGATGTTCATTCACTATTTTATTTTTTCATTCAAATGACATTTATTCAGTGCTTGCCATGCAGTAGGCAGCATTGAACTTGGTTTGTTCTCTATTATCCAGTTTAAACTTCAAAAGTATATGATCAGTGATGCTACCTCCATTTTGCAGGTGAGAAAACTGAGTCTCTGTGTCCCAGTTGTCTTATTCTTTGTTTGGCCCCTTTCAACTATGAAGAGTTAACCTCCAGTATTTTATAATGACTAGATGTCACTTGAAACTGACCAGATAGGATTTAGAATTCTGTCGCCAAATTCTAAATGCATCTGTCAGGTTTATCTACCTATGTAGCTGTTGATAAATTTAAAACAATTTTTAGACATTTTTTATATTTGTGAGCTTTTGGCTCAGTGACTGTTTTATATTACTCATTTACCTTTATACTAAAATAAGATAGTTTTCCTTAGATTGCCAAAAGCTTTTCCTTAGATTTCCAAAAGATAGAAATATTGTCTCTTAACAATCTTTTCTTGAGAGCATCCCTTAGCAATCCCTAAAATTCTAAGAAACAGTGTAGAATAATTATTTTTAAGTATAAATTCAAATAGTAAATTTTGACACACATATTTTGACTAAGGGTAAATTAAATTGGGTGGCCTAAAAACATTTCTTTTCTTTAATTAGTTTGTAGAAACAAAATAGCATAAACATGTGTTGATTGATTTCTTGTGTTGTTTTAATTGAAATATGGAAGGTATATTTGGTTTCAGGATTCTCAGGGACATTTTGGCCTATAGAATCTGTAGACTCACTGTTTTTGCATATACTTTAAATTTCTGAATTTTGAACATCAAGAAAACCATGTTGCGTTTTGTCTTAGATGCTGCTACTGAATTTTAACCACTGAATTAGATTGCAACCTACATGCTGTTAACTACTGAGCCAAGATGAAATCGACCACTGCATTGAAATCAGGGTTAGCTGTGTCTGCACTTGAAGGAATTGTAATGGCAGTGAACCTGTTTTCTTTAATGGGATTTTTATTCTCTGATTTTATTCTCAGTTTTGATTGTGACACTTCAATGTTAAGAGAATTTCTTCATAAAAGTACACATTTATTTGAGGTTTTCATTGTAACATTAAGAGAGTAATAAAAACATCCTGTAGAAGTAGTTGCTTCCAAACCCAAGTGTTCACTGGCATATTTCTGTGTTGCGTTGTTGCAGTTACTTGTTTTATTTATGAAGTAATCTCTTGTAAAAAGAGAAGTCATTTGTCCATGTGCTCTTGAGTTCAAATGGTTGTGTGTAAGTTCATGAATATAAAATCTTTTTTTGTGAGAGTTTTCTTCTTTGGGGTATTTTTGGAATACTTTTCTGAATTTGTTTTTTTCTTTTACATTAATAGGACTTGACCCCACTCAATTTACAGTTCATCATTATCATAAAGATGAAGAGAATGATGCTCTACTTGGGGGCCCAGCACAGCTCACTGATGAAGAGAAATACAGGGACTGTGAAAGATTCAAATGTCGATGTCCTACATGTGGAACTGAGAATATTTATGATAATGTCTTTGATGGTTCGGTTAGTTGTTTCTGTCTTTTTGTGAGTGAACTTGTATAGCGGCCTTGCCCCTTTCCCCCACTATGGAGTATATAAAAAGGGCAAAATAAACACACCCACGTTGCTTTCATGTGTTTAAAGAATTTTGGCATCATATAAAATCTGCCTTCACAGCTTACTTTGTTTCTGCTTGAAAACTTTGAACTGAATGTGCTTGAATATTGTTTTGGCTTCCTAGAGTGCTTGACCTTGGTTTTTAAATGGAATCCCTTAAAAATTCTAAATTATCTTAAGTATTTTTTATTATAATTTCTTAATTAGTAACCTCTATTGCCCCACTCTCAACCCCCATCTATTAGGACTTAGAGCAATATTTTTCTTTATCTTAAATCAAGTTAATGGGAACTAAGTGTTTTGAGAAAGTTTGTTTGCCTTTACACATCCCACTTACCTCCATTTTGCAAAGGTACTCTTATTATCTTTTCTGCTGTCTTTGCATATTAGACATTTAAAAAGTCACAGGGAGACATTTCTTTCAAGAAGTACTGCCAAAAAATGTATTATTGACCTTGGATCAGAGCTTGAAACTTGGCCAGTTTACTTGATTTCCACTGCAGTGTTATGCATAGACTAGCCATTGGCAAAGGAATAGGCAGCAGAACTGTGTAAAACCTTGAAACTGAAAGAAAAGACACCCTTTATCTAAATTAAAAGTAATTATTTTAAGTTAATTTGGACAAACAGCAGATGTTTTGCATTTTTTTGAATCAAAACAAAGCAGTCTTTGGAAGCAAGTGCAAGGAAGAGGCAGACACAGATCAGCAATACTTGCTAAATCCTTGAGTTTTGCTTCATTACAGCTGTAAATAAGATAGTTAATTGCATGGAGGCTTGACGACTTGCAGATGGGCTAACTGTGGAAGAGCCGATGTCAAGCTCTGAAATCTCTTCCACCTGGAATTGCTTAGCGTGGCGGGTAGGGTTATGTACCAGATTGGAGCAGGAAACCAAGATGTTTAAGTATCAGGAAGGAAAACAAGTGCTTCAGAAATCCCAACAGTTTTGCTATATATTATATTTGCCTTGTCTTTGTTTAAAATGAAACACAGCAAAACAAAATGTTTTCTCCAAATATTAATATTTAAGTCTTTCAAATTTTTACTTCTCCTGCCTCCCTCTCCCAAATACATTTCATTTTTTGGAAAAATTGCCAAAATTTTAGATTTGTGAAGCAGATAGTAAGTGATGTTGTTTTTGTGGTACTACAATTCTTTTAGATTTTATTTTTAAAATTAAGTTAACAAGATAAAAACAAACTAATGTGATAAAGGCTCTTGCTTTTCTTCATGTTCATAATGAGTAAATGCAAATTTAAAGTTTTTATCGATATCTCTAAGAAGGAGGTTTATTTCCAGTAACATGACTTCACTGGTATTTACAGAGGGAAAATTATTTTATCCATAGAGTCCCTCGTGTATTGAATGTAAAATGGTGATTTCAGAGTTTTTCCTTTGTTACTCCATTGTGATGATGGCAAAGAATGGAAGGTATGTGTTACTAAAGTGTCTTTGGGAGGAAAATAATTGAGAAGATAGGGTTAAAAACTCACCAATAAAACGAATTAAAAATATTCAACACTAGGATGGCATGTAAGTTTTTAAGCACAGAAAACCTTTTATAGCCTCACAGTAACTTTTTGTATACTTGTCCTGACTTCTATAGGGAACCGATATGGAGCCCAGCTTGTATCGTTGCAGTAACATCGATTGTAATGCTTCACCTCTGACCTTTACAGTACAACTGAGCAACAAATTGATCATGGACATTAGACGTTTCATTAAAAAGTACTACGATGTAAGTATCCATAATGACATTCTTACATGCACAATTGATTTAGGTTTGGTACTTATTTACTGGTTTTCATGAGACTGTAAAATTTTGAAAAGACTTTTGGGAAAAATTCCTAGTGAAATGCTATTAATACATATAAAGTATGTAATTTTGACATATTAACATGACAAATTATTTGATATTTCTCTTAGGCATTACATATACTTCATTTATGAGCAGTATTTTAAATAATGAAATTTTTACTTTTTTTAAAAAAAGTAAGAATATAATTAAGAAATGTTTTAGTTTATTGTTACCTAAATAAGACTAATTAAATGATTGCTCAGATGTTTGGATAAAGGAAGAAAAAAGTCACTATTGGCTATTGTCAGCAAGTCGAGCTCCAAGATCATGTGTGGTGATCTTAGTAGACTGCCCATACAAAGCTAATAGTTTGTGTTTATGTGGCACTCTAAACCACTCCATAGCCTAGTTTTCTGATGAAATCAAAT